GAAGGAAGGAAGGAAGGAGAAGAGAAAGGAGATTGATTCTAATTTCTAACTTTTTTTAGGCTCAAAAAAGTGTGAAGCACACACAAAAAAACCCCTAACAATTGGTCACAAACTAAAGGACTCCAAGTTGTGCTGTAATGAGGGGTGTCAGCAGCATTTTCCACCAACAGTCTCTCAGAAAATTTCCCAGTCCAGTTTGGGATTGAGCATCCCAGACTCTGTTCTTAGCAGTTGTTTTGCATGCAGCCACTGCTGAGGAGATGAGAAGGTCACACAAGCAGRAGAGTTCCATGCCAGCCCAGCCAGTGCTTGGGCATGCCCCAGCAGWGTTTAATTTACCAGTGAAAATCTAGTCACAGTGCTCTTCTTTCTCTCACCTGAAGCCATGGATTATGATTTTGGTTTCCAGGCTGCTGTTGAAGTGGCAATTCTTGATGCCATCATCAGATGAAATCAGCTCTCCACAGTTGGGGCTTGAGGAGGTGAACAGAAGGAACTGGACCTTAAGTTTGCTGCCCCGTAGGAAACTTGCTGTCTGGAAGTCAGTGCAGTGATGCCCTGAGAGTCTTTCTGTATTTCCTGAAGCAAGAAAGAGTKAGTGGCACATTTATTCTGTGTCTGTGCAATGGGAAAAAAACTCTCCTCATTCCAATTCATTAAGAAAATGAAGGTAGCAATTTTACTTCTATTGGGAAAGATCAAATATATATAGTATAAATCAAAATCAAACTATTCTGGAAACTTTACCTGACTGATAAAGTTGTTTCTGTCTTTGATGGAATTCCAGCACTGTCTTGGAAAATAACCATGGATGTCATACTAGCTTTGACTGCTAGGAGTTGTTTTACCATGAGGTGAATGACATTTTGCTGGGGTGTTTTAACAAATTGGCCATGCACACCAGCAACAAAGTACATTTATGAGGTGGCTGTTAGATTTTTAAAAAAATGCTTGCCAACAGATGGTCACCACTGAATGGGAGTATTTCTATTCAGGTTCTAGTAGGCTTAATAGAAGGTACAAATCTAACTGACAATTGCATCAAAAATCCAGAAATAAATATAAGAATGCTGATGGAAAAAATATATCAATGACAATTTCCCAACTGATTAATTTACTGGATGAAAATGCTTTATGAGAAGGAAAAGGCAGCTACTGGAAGGCACTTTCACCTAGACAGAAAAAAAAATAAACATCCAACCTGAAGCTAGTAAAAAACCTGAGAAATTTAGGCTAAAAAGCAAGCAATAAAGTTCAGCAGTGTGTATCACTAGCAGTGCTGTTTTAAGAGCTGACATAGTTGCATCCTGCTGCAATGACAATCCATGCACCTTCCCTTTCTGCACTGGAGGAAGTGAAACAGCCTTGAAGCTGCACTTTTTTTTTTCTTTTTCATCAACCAGCTTCCCAATTTTCCTCAGAAGATACTTTACACCAGCTAGGCAGAACATGGCCTACAGGTCAGCACAAAGTGGTGATATTTAACATTCCAACTCCCCCTTACAGGGTGTGACCATTCCTTTCTGCTGTTTATTTTGGTCTTCCTGTATACTCTCAAGGAAGGAAAAGACATTTTTAGAGATCAGCTTGGAAAAAAATGTAGGTCTTGAGCCAGTTTAAGTAGCAAAAGCAGGCCCAGTGCTAGCACAATGCATGTCAGAAATGGTGTAAGATGAGGGGGATCATCAATAAAGGCAAGGCAGGATATGTACTGCAGTGAGGCTGCAGGTGATGTGGGACTGTAGATGTGATCACAAAGGCAGTCTCATTTACAGTACAATTAAAGAAAGAAATGGAAGTGTGGAATTTGTTTATTTTCTCTCAGCTACTCCAAATTACACTTGCTGAGCTTTCAAAGCAGGAGATTCCGTCGCCAGATGTCAAGTGGTCCCTTTTCTGCAACCTTACACTTCAGCATAAACCTGGCTCATTCTTGCAAATCAGGTTAATGGAATTAAATCACTGAGAGTGATTGAATCAAAGGACAGGAGAAGAAAAGACCGTTCTTGCACTACTTTTTCTYCTCGGCACCTAACAAGATTATTGCAAGGACCCCTTGACATATGGCTTGTTTCGGGAGAATTGAATTCAGATCCTTCTGTGTAAATCCTTCAATCCCTTGACTGTTTTTCTTATGGTTTTTCTTACCTGTTAGTGCTGAGCTGGGTAGCAAGAGGACAGCAAGAACAATGAGCAGCTTTCTCTTCGGAGCCTCAATCATCTTCCCGTTCATCCAATTCAAGTATAAAGTTTGTACAGTGGGAAAACAGCTGTGGTTAATGATCAGCTTGACTTTATAATGATCAACCAGCCTGTGCACTTAGGGGAAAATGACAAAATTTGGATTTTGAGCAATTACCTCTGCTCTTATTTGATCATTAGTCAAAATCTGAGGAATAGGTTTCACTGGCTTTTTGGTTAAAGAAGGTGTTGACCTTCTTTTCCTCCCTACCTCCCTTTCCTGATGGGAAACACCTCACTTCAGAAATCAGCTAGTGAAACCAGTCCCAGCAAGCGATAGAGTTACAATGCTTTATCCTTGCTACCTAAACCTTTCTGCCAAATTCTGACTCGGGATGCTGTTTCATCACAAGGCTTCACAATAAGTCCATGCCAGGAAGATTCATATCAGCCTTGCATCACATTTCCCTACTGCATTGCTGTCTTTCCTGTATTTCYACTTTTGGGCAGACACCTGTAACAGTCACAAAAAGGCAAAGCAGTGGATTACATCTGAAAAGTGAGGGGAAAGGCAGACTAAAATGTAACGGGTGGTCATATCACCATAGCATACCCAGAGTGCACATTTTTTAGGGTGGGGGCACCCTTCACTAAAGCAATCCAGCATTATAAGCATGCAAATATTAACAAAAGATCTTCTTTTGGCTTTTTTGGCTGAGATGGACTGCCAGGTAAGCACACACCTGTTCCTTAAATCTCATTGGTGTGTGTTGGTCCATCGTGATGAACAAAGCAGCTCTGCCTTTGACAGTGCTAAATGGCAGAAAGGGTAATGAGCAAAGTTCCTTGTCTAGGCACTAATCTACAGTGTCTCAGCTGAACAACAAAATTGAGAAATTTCTTCATTCTGATCAGAAAGATGACTAAAGACATTTCAAAAAGCATAAGACATTACTTTTCTTTACAGCTACTGCTGATAGTAGTAACTTCCTTACCCCAGTTTGTTCCAGCTGAAGGCTTTGGGACTGTTTTAGGTAGAAAATAGTTTTATTTCCAATTCTTCTGAGAAATTCCTCCAGTTTCCACTGGAAGTTAGGCAGCATGAGCTGTCTGGCCTGGAGGAAAACTGAAGCCCTGCCATATCCTCATCCTCCCAGAGAAAYGTACACAGATACCTTCTGACCCTGAAATACCTGCCTCCAGGAYCAAGCTGGCTTATTGTCAGAGAAGTAGGTCCTTAGTGTCTCACAAATAGGTGATTGTGTTTGTCAGCCCAATCAATTTTCCAAGATTGGAAGCTGCAATGCCAAAAGCCAGTTCCTGGCTCCCAGCTCACTCCCCATCTTTCCATCCCCAGCACTTAGACCAACATTGATTCTCAGACTGTAAGATAAAACCTGTGGACTGCAARGGGCCTATTCCTTCTTCATTATGCCCACAAATTCCACTGATCTGGATAATCTCTCAGTCCAGAAAGAAGGAAATAAACTTGTGAGATCACACCAATAGGCAGTGACATGTCCACATGAACCTTCAGAGCAAGTGAAATTGTGAGCATGAAAAATTTCTTAAAACAAATTGGAGCACCTACAGAAAGCGAGCAAAYCTTCCTTTCCATTATTTTATTTAAAATCATAGTAACAAGCACTGCTCTTTTTATCAGGATGCAAATATTTTCCCAAATTTTTGGCAAAAGTATTTTTGGCAAATGCTTTGCCAAGTCCTATGGAAATTTTGAAATGCCATGTAATATAAGGCAGGCACCAGCCCTAGGGAGTTAAACAAAACTGTGGCCAAGATGTGATCTGGTTTCATTTTGTRTATTTGCAGAGCTGTTAAACAACATCCTGGTGTTTAACAATTCTGCAAGTGCATAAAAATGGTGTTTTTTTTAAAAAAATAGATGTCTTAATGAAATAAAAAATTCTGTTTCTTAAGCAGATTTTTTTCCTGTAATCTCAGATTTAGTAATTCCAGGGTTTTTTTTTTTTTAAATTTAAGCAGTACACTGTGGTGATTCTATGCAACACAGCAAAAAACACAGTTACTCTGTGCTTAAAATGCTCTTACCAGTAAAACTATTTTGGTATAAAGGGTTTTCGTATTATTGCTTGTGAACCTAATTACTGAGTAATTACAYGTATATTAGTTTAGAAACTTTATGCCACTTATTTTACTTCCTAGTGGAAGTGATTATAATGGCAATGGAAGCACGTGGCAAAGACTTTCAAACCACTTTAGATTTCTTTTAACCATCCCTTACAGCATACAATCCTGTAGTGTGATTTGCTTGAGAATGTCAGGGATAATGAAAGCAAACAAACTTGATTATTTTTAATGCATAAATCCTTTTAATAAAAAAAAAAAAAATTGCACTGTCTGCACATTCAAGCAAATGCTAAAAGTGCCCAGCTCAGCTGAAAATGTCTTCTCCCCCATGCACAAAGCAACAGCTGGCAGAGGGAAATACCCAGTGGTCAAGTGGAAATCTGATCACAGGAAAATTCACTTAGACTGGAAAACTASTTTTTGATACTGGAAGCAATACATTTGGGGTAGCAGCACCAGACCTTGGGGGAAGCCAGGTGTGTGTTAAGGAAATGATAACTATTTAAAACCTCTTCCTGTGGCCTTTGCACTCGAAGAAGGGCATGAAATACACCCAAAGTTTGGCTCACTGTTCATTAAGGCCTGGATYCCTGCTCCTGCTGGAATACTTGATYTYACAGATCCTGTATTTTCTGTCCTTTGCCCATGGAGCAGAAACCATGGCTCCACGTTAAGCATGCAGACTCCTGTGCATTGTTCCCAGAATTGACAGAGGAACTGTGTTTGGTTCTCACCTCAACAAAAAGCACTTCAAACTCCTGACTTCCAGAAGTGCCCTAACAATGGCAGAGCAGGAAGAAAACCTTAAAGATTGTCTTGGCAACAGAGGAAGAGAAAACATGAGCAAGTCTGCTTGGATACTCTGTCAGAAAAGGAGGAAGACCAGTCATCTGAGCCTTTTTTGGGTACTTAATGGACCTTCTACCTCGTATGACTGAATTAGTAAACATAAGAAGGGAGAAAGCATCCTTACCACACATTACCAGGTAGAGGATCCAGGTGAGGCCACCAGCCTCCAGGTTCAGCTTCTCTCTCACTTTCTGTGCCCTATGAAGCCCTAGTCATCCTCTAGAACGTGGAGCAGCTCAGTAGGAAAAACTTAGGCCTGCCTTAAGTGCATGTGGGTGACTTCCTGTGGTTCCTTCCACCCTAAAATAACCTGTTTCAAAGTGCAAGTGTCTGTCTCTGTTTCAGATTTCTCTCTTCTAAGCCTGAAGGTTTCATAACCTGCAGGACATGTGTAGCGTGCAAGCATCCTCCCAGCAACAAGATTCAATCCAGAACCTCTGACATCTTGGGGAGGACATTTTACCTGACAAGAGGACCAGTCAGCAGCAGAGAACACGTGCTCCTGCTGTGAGAATGCTGCAGGAAGATGGCCATGTTACATTTCTGGCATAAACGCTGTGGCTCAGAGCCTTTACAGGGCAAGGAACTCCCTTAGACAATCAGTAATTAAGGACAGAGGGGAAAAGGTAACAGAGGGGCAGAAAGGCTCCATATGGGTTTCKATCACTGAGCAAAAGGTATTTATGGCATGGGCCTAGCTCCATTTGTGAGTTACATGTCATGCCATTCCAACATAGCTGTGGAAAATGAATCAGTATTATTCTGGGTTTTGTAAGAACTGAAGGAGACAGCAATTCTCAGYCCAAGATGCAATATCATTCCAGCTCATGCTGCAACCTCCAGCRATGAGTTAAAGGAGCTTACAGTAATGCCTAGAAGGAGAGGAAAAAAATAATCCCTCAGAGATGGAACATCCTCAGTGCTTATTCTGGAAGGACCTCTGGTTAGAGATATCCATGGTTCCCAAATTTTTTTGTTTTCTGTTGTGTGAAGAGCAAAGCTGAGGACACTCAGAGGGGTGGTGAATAGCCCAACTGAGCTGCTCGTGAGCGTGGGGGCCAAATGCACTGGGAGAGAGCTGACTGAAAGATAACCCTGTGGAGAGAGCTGACTGAAAGATAACTCTGTGGAGAGAGCTGACTGAAAGATAACCCTGTGGAGAGAGCCTCCCTCACAGCACTGTGCTGTGCTGGTGTTCCCCAGGACAGGCAGTCAGGCTGCAGGGAGTTGAGCATGCTTTGAGTCTGCAGCTGGACTCTTCTCAGCCAGGGTAATGCCCTGTGAGTGGGATACAGGACCAGGAGGTTGAAATATCCACTCACAGCAACTCACTGCCACSAGAGGAAAGCTGACTCGAGCTACTGCAGTATTTGTCAGAGCAGTGATTTTTCCATAGCTGCTGAGTACTTACGTTTTCCAGACCGTTGCGGTATTTTCCGTTTCTTCCTCAAAAACACCGGGTAGTGTCAAGAGGTCAGTCATTCATGAAACAGAATTTAMGTGTGCTTCAGTTTTGTGAATGGGCTGCTGAGCAGCTGGTGTCAAAGAAAACCCCTGGAAATCAGAGTTGGTTGCTGTTCAATTTTTTTTCCTTCACTCACCCCCCCCCCCAGAGACCAAACCCACCTTGGAACAGAAGAATGTGGMCAGGCTGAACCTCGAGCCCACCCCTCAAAAGGAGATCTTGCCAGGTGATCCTCAAAGARGACAGAGGGCAATTTTTGGAGCATGAGTGTCAAACACCAGGCTCCAGGGWGTATTAGGAGCASAARGTGTCCCTGCCCGTGGCAGAGCGGCTGGAACTGACCTTAACTACTCTCTGATCATTTCCTGAGGTGGCGAGCTGCTGAAATTCGTTCTTCCTCTAACCTGCGGGKCTCCCACTCCACATAAAATCGATTTACTTTCAGTTTTTCAATTATAAGAGCTGAAATCTCCCTGATGTAAGAGCAACACGGCAGCTCTTGCGGCCAGCTCTCTCTGGAGCTGCGCCCCACAAACCACACACCCCCTTCACGGCAGCACCCGGCACCCCAAGTCCCTCTATCTGACACCCACAGGGCGCACAGGGCGCAACTCCCTTTTCCCGCAAAATCCCGAATTCTCGGAAGAGCCCACAGGGATCTTCCAGCGGAAGGGGAAGGAGAGCAGCAGAACCCTGGGTCTGAGGCTGAGGCGGGACGGGGGCAGGGCCTGGCTGTGGGACCGGGTAGGGCGGGCCGGGAGGCGGCAGCCCTCGAGTTTTGATTTCCGTCTAGGGCAGAAGATCCGGCAGCAATGTGGATGCTGGGCTCGCTCCTGTGCCTTACGGGCCTCCTGGGTAAGCTGTGAGGGGGCGGTGGGGACCCTTCCGAGCTCTTCGCTTTTCTCGCTCTGTCTCTCTCTCTCCCTTCCCTCCCTCCGTGCCGCCTGGGGCTGAGGGGCGGTGGCAGCGTGGCAGCCTCGGCCGCCGGACGGGCGTGTTCCGCCCTGGGGAAGCGGCGATGGGTTGTGGAATGCCCGGGGAGCTGATCCAGCCACCGCTACCCCCGATCCCCGACAGTGGCTGGGGGTCCCTGGCCACTCACTCGCCCGCCCGCCGGGCTCCCGAAGGGTGGCGGGCACAGCCTCCTTCCCTCAGCTAAAACAACATCGCGGCGACCGGCATGTTCAGGAATTCGCCACCCTGCTCTCGGCGCGTTCCTGTGCCCTGTAAAAATTGTGTGAACCGGGCGCTTGGGGTGGGAAATGGGTGTGATTTGGGTGTGATTTCATGGTACCGGGAGTTAATTCCCGCTGAGGTTACCCCGCGCTGCGAAGGAAGCAGCACCACAGCACAAGGGCGGCTTCCTCCTCCKCCTCCTCCTCCTCCTCGYCGTAGCGGGGWGCACTTTTTGCACTTTTGCCTCCGGGTTCTCAGGTGTTAAGGAAGTCAAGAAACGAGCTTTTATCGTACAAATATGCTTGTCATCCAAAGCTGTTTATTCTGTATTCTGTGTTCCTTCTTGCTCATGAGCAAAGCRTCAAAGTTCTCAATCATTTTGTATTAATTTGGGGGATTTTTTCGTAGCTGAAGTTTTGTGGGTTTTTTTTGTTTGTTTTTTTTGGGGTTTTGTTTGTTTGTTTTTTGGTTTTTTTTTGGTTTTGGTTTGTTTTTGTTTTTGGTTTTTTTTTTGGTAGAAGTAAATTATTGCTATTAACTGCTGGCGAAATACTAACCAAAGGCCTTCTTAATCCAAATGCCACTGCTGTGCCTGAGGAGCATAACCCTTACACCCACAGCCCTTGCACTGGGCTGTGAACATGAGAAGTATCAACAAAACTTGTTCATTTTTGAAATTGAAGATGCATGTACAAACTTTCTTGTTGTCATCAGAGGTCGCTGCTGTTGCTAAATGGGCCAAAAAGCATCATTTAAACTATGAAGATCTTATCATTCCTCTAGTCTTAGGGATTTCTTCTAACTTTGGGTTTTGTTTTTTGGGTTTTTTTTTGCTTTGGGAGTTTCCTCAATGTGCCTAAAAGAGCAGCGATTATATTCCTCTATTTAAGAAGGAACAGTCTCCCCTTCCTTTTCCTGAAGGCTYTAAGCAGCTGGCTCTGCTGCTGAGAGTTCAGAGCAACTCCCTGTGATTTCCTCCCCATACTATTCCAGAATTCTTCAACTTGTTTTATTTAACTGAGGTTTTGAGATCCCATTCTATCATAGAGCGTTGTGCAGGGAGGACAAGTGGAGGAGTCAGGACACTGCACACCATGCCCTCGGTGCAGTTTCTTATCTCTCAGATGGTTCTAAATGGGTGTGACTGAGGAATAATTAACTGAATATCTTCTTGTAACTTTCTCTGACAGTGAGGGCACTTTGCTACCTTGCATTATGTGAGTTGGCATGCTGCTGCCAGTCTGACCATCTCAGTCCRTGGGCTATGGACTTAGCTAGGAAGCAAAGTTCCAGGTTCCAAAGAACATACAATTGAAAGGAAGAGGTGATGTTACTTGGACAACTKGAGGAGGCAGTTGTGGCTGCCAAGTATCATAACATCCTGCTTTAATGAAAAGCTTAGCTAGTTCTRTTGTGTTCTGTATAAAACTTTGATTCTGAAGTGGTTGATCAGGGCAGGAGATCAGGAATGCAAATTCTTTACTGTTGCCCACTAAACTAAATAGGCATGATTTCACACCATGTTTTTGCTTGTATGCTTGCATTATTGCTATTACATATGTGTTAATTTTAAYGAGGTAAAATAATCTATCATCTCTCTATGTGAAAATCAAGACCTGGAAGTCAGACTGATCTGCTCCAGTGCATGAAATAAATCAGTTGCAGTTCAATTTGGCATACAAGTTTCCAGCCTTGCAAACACCTGCTGTAAACACCAGGGTGCTGTTGGTAGTTCCTCATCCTTTATCAGCCTTCCCCTCCTGAATCCCTTCTCCATCCAAATCCAAAGCACTGCATGTATCCCAGTCACATTGGTGAATATCTGGAGTAGAGAAGGAGATGTGCTTCTTCATTCTCCTATGGGATGCAGAAGCTGCAGTGTAGTTTGGGTGTCTTTAGAATTCCTACTCGCCACACAGGGATTCCTGCTTTTCCCAGTGCCAGGCCAAGTCAGTTTTTTATCTGATAAAACCTCGGACTGTCAATTACAGTGCAAAGCCTCGTCTCGAGGCTATGGAAGAACTTTGATTTTAGGCCTGCCAAGAGCATGGTCCTTCAGTYGCTGGAAGTTCAAGSCAAAAYTGTGTTCAGATTTGGGATCCTGGATGTTGTGTGTGGGTGGAAAGAAAGTCAGTGTGGGGTCTGTGGCCTAACTGGTTGAAGGAACCCGCAGAGAGATCTTTGCATCCTCCCTGTAGGAGGTGAGTAAATAACACCACACCAACACGAGGATGGCAGTGCAAGCCASACCTATGAGGATGTTCTGCTGCACTGCAGATGGTAACCAAACTTCTTGCTTCAGCTGCATCTGGGTCCTGCCCCAAAAGCACAGAARTGAGCTGGATATATGAACTAGAGCACCTAGAAGTATTCTGTGTGTGTAGTGAGGCTCATCTGAAAGCCACACRACTCTTTCAATGTTCTGAGCACAACTCTTTTATGCAGTATTGCAGCCTTCTAGTTCTTGCATGTCTAGATGGATTCCATAATGCCGTTTTCRTTGTATGCTTGCATTAATGTCTGCTTAATGCTTCATTTCCCAATTCAACCTCTTTTTWAAAAATGAGTTAAGCTAAGAAAACCTTGTTTCCCTAAAAGCAGAACTTGCCTTCTCTCCAGTACTGAGCATAGACCGACAACCTGAGAGTTCATAAAAATGATTTTTCTTTCAGACTTGTTCTGAGAGTGACCAGTATAGAAACCAAACTTACCTCAATGGGGCTTTTTGTTTCTGCGTCATTAGGCAGTTCAACAAGTTTGGGCTAGCTTTTTTTCTTTTTTAAATTTTAAAATTTCCTGTCTTCTTTTTCTCTGCAYGCAGAAATGTATGCTTCTTTCTACATTTTTGTTGATCAGAAAAACCACAGGGATTGCTCAATGTTTCTTATGTGTCTTTCCACTCCATGAGAGATGCCACAGGAAAAGAGTGTTGGTATGAATAGGAGGAAATCTGGACTCCTAACAAATTCAGGTTGCTTGTAGATTGAGGTTATTTTGTAGGTTGCTAGTAGAGATGTCAAACACAGTTTTAAATAGTACAAATGGAAAAATCAGTTATCAGCACTCTGAAGCTGACACTTGCTTGGGTTGTCCTGACCTTACTCTTGAATCTTTCTGAATAAACAGAGGAAATTATAAATTCCTCATGAAGGAAAAAAAAATCAAACCAAATCTCTGCCCCTCTGCCCCTTCCAAAAACTTTTGATAAGGCTGTTATATTAAAACAACAGTGAAACAAATAATATTTTTGCCATTGCTGTTTAACACTACAGGATGAACACAAAGTGAAAAGTTTTTCGAGTAGTTTCTTGCCTTATTGTAATTATTGGTCTTATACTTTAGAAAGCCAGGATCATCTTTGGATTGCATACACAGACTCCTTTGATCCTGAATGTGTTAAAGGTGCTGATAAAAAAAAAAAAAAAGTGTAGGTTTTTCTGGTTTTGATTTTTTTTCCTTACTGGTATGCCTATCTGTTTCCAGCCTCATGAGAATCTATTGATGGTGTGACCATGGGCTTGCTGGGTGACACAGGGTTTGTAAAAGACACAGGCTGTAATTTGGAGTAGTTTAGGCTGGTTGAGAACAGCTCCTCTCTATGGCATCAGTTTGTGCTGTCCTTTATAAACAGACCTGAGAAGATGATCTGGCTGCAAATGAACTCAATTGAAGGAAAAAGTCACCAAGACAGATTGTTTTCTCACTCCTTTTGATCACAGAACCTATGTGAAGTCTCTGCTTGTGCAGCATAGGAAGTGCTGCTGTCTGAATGCTGGGAATAAGTGACTGGAGGGTTTGGAATCATAGAATGGTTTGGGTTGGAAGGGACCKTAATGATGATCCAGTTCCATCCCTCTGCCATGGACAGGGACACTTGCCACTAGACCAGATTGCTCAGAGCCCCGTTCAGAGTGGCCTTGAACACTGCCAGGGATGGGGCATCCACAACTTCTTTGGGCAATCTGTTCTGGTGTCTCTGGACTGCTTTGGAACTGCTGCTTTTTTTTTTTTTTTTAGATAGTGCAAGTCAAGCTTAAATGCAGGTCAGTTCTGTCCCTAACCAAAACCTAGAGTTTAAAAATAATCAATATTCCACATGACAAAATGATCCTTCCTAATAATTCACCACTGCTAAAAGTGGTGATTCCAGGTCCTCTCCTTCCCTGGCCTTATCCAATGCCCAGCCACCCTCTGGGTGAACAACCTTCTTCTAATATCCAACCTAAACTTCCTCTGACACAACTCCAGGCCATTTCCTTGGRTCCTGTTACTGGTCACCACAGAGATCAGTGCCTGCCCCTTCTCTATGCTCTTACTCTTGTTCTTCCCCGTTTCGCTAACTTCTGCTCCATTCCACATGCGAGCATGGGTGTTCCCACACTGAGTCATATCCGGGAGTTACAGTCCTTCTGTGTGTTTTTTTTTCAGGGGGGTGTATTTTTGTTGGTTTTTAGTTGGAGTGGGATGTGTGTGTGTCAAGTTAACTGTCAGTGGATTTTACTGTCTGCATGAGTGTTTCACTGCAGGAACAGGCAGACAAAAAAACAAGAGAAGGAGCAATAAGTAGATCATCCCCACGCTTTTGGTCACCAGCATAGTTTAAAAAATCACTGGATGGGATCCCTCTGCATGGGAATGCTGCTTGTTGTTGTGCCCTTGCTGAGGGTGTGGATTTTTTGTGGTGGGGAGGGACCCAGGCCTGTTGACAGGAGCCACCTTGGGGTCCTGCCCTTGTGATGTGTAAAGCTCTGTAGATGCAGCCCCATATTGTCCAGGGGAGCAGCACTCACCTCTGTGAACGTGCTTCGAGAGAAAACCTCTGCTTTGGATGTTCCATGTAGGATTTGCATGCGTTCCTGCACAAATCTGATTTTATCTTGCAACAGCCTGGGTTGCTGGTACAGCTTATTGCTGTCTGTGTTCTCTCTCCTCTCTGTGGCTTTTGCCTGTGCTTTTACAGAGTGGGTCTAAGTGCTTTTTTTACTGGAATTTGGGAAATGAGTTGTGTCTGTGGCATGTGGGGGAATTAAGAGGGCTATGGTTGGTGAATATGCCATAGTCCTTCTGGACTGGACATTTATTTCAGGGTTTTCTGCACCTGGTGGTTTTGAGGGTTAGCAGGGAACATGATTGTCTGCTGGTTACAGTTGCTGGGGGAATTAAAAATTTTTTTTAAAGCCTAAAAAAGAGGTAGTTGGGAAGTTATAAAAAATAAAACAAAAATCTGCTATTTAAAAAGCCCATATCCTTAAGCAAGTAGTCCCTTGCCCTAAACTTATTAGTAAGAACTATTCCACCCAGTTTCAGCAGGTGGAATTTCAGTGTCTTAATAATCCATAGGGGAACCTAGTTGCTGCCTTTGTAGACCTAATATATACCCATATGCATTTCAAATAGGTATTCCAGACAAAAAAAATAGCATAAATAAAAATAAGGGAATTAGTTTACAGACATTCTCCAAAATAACTAGGCCTTACATCAGCTCTGAGAAAAATAGTGGAAAAAGTCAAACCAGGTAGACAGATACAGTAATGAAGCATTGATTGCTGGTCTACTTCATCTGCACTGAATATGGATGCCTTTAGTCTGCTAAAATGCCAAAAGAGTCAGAATTAGTCTGGGAAATATTAAAAKTCGAGYCCAGCACTGGRTTCTGTGGGTCTGGCTGCTAGAGAATTGGGAGCAGAAGATGATGTAGACAAGGTGAGGTGATGGTTCTCAGAAGAAGCTTTGCCCACACAACTTTAGCTCCTCTTTTTTCTGTGATACTTTGATTGTGTGATTTGACTGGAAGGAAAGAACACAAAGACTTGGCATAAGAAGGAATTTGGAGTGGGTTTTAGGAGATACAGGAGCAGGTAGTGTGATGGTTTCTGTGGAGGCTGCTGGAGGCAGCAGTTGTGTGAGCTTTATCTTGAAATAGTAGGCTACAATAAGTAGAGAGGGAGAAAGCAGAGAAACTAAAGGAAAGGCAGTTCTAGCCTTCCAAAAAGAGTGCGTGAGTGTTTGGTTGTCACTTCTCCCTCTTTGCTCACCACTGTGGAATGGGAAATAAATTTCCATATGAAATGAGGTAGAAAAGATGGGGAAGGGTTCCTTGGGAATTTAGAAAATGTGATGACATACATTTTCTCCAGAAACTCAAAGATGTGTGGTTATGACCTTACACAACATTTATGTATGATTTCTTGGGAAAAAGGAAGCTGGCAGTACCGAGTGGGAGACTTCTTCATGTTTTCACTAGACCAGTGAAGCAGGGAAATAAAACCAGAGATTGAATGTTTTAAGGTGGGAGGAGATGACTGTTATCCTTGAGGAATAACCTTTTCCTTGTACTCTGAGTGCCAGCAAGAGGAGACCGTGCTGAAAAGAGCAGGACTCCCCCATGCCACAGAACCTGTGGAGAGAAAATGTGTTTTCTTTTCAGCTCTGCTTTCCTTCAGTCTCATTCCTGGGCTTGAGGAAGCAAGAATTTTGCTCTCATAGCTCCAGCCTAGCACTTATGACTAATTGAAGGAGAGTAAAGAGATGGAGCGTTTTCCTGGAGCAACCCCCAAGTTGATCCACGTAGGATCAGCTTAGGAAGTTRTTAGTGGTTGGCTGAGCAGTGGTGACCATCCTTTCTTGTGTTTTTAGTCCCCAGCTGTCCTTCCTGAAGGCTCTTAGCAACAGCCACTGTGGTCTGGCTTATGCTGATATTAAGCCACCACCACAGTCTTGTTGTGTCAGTGAGACAAAGTTACCAAGGCAGAATTTCACAGTGGGAAGAGCAGGGAGTTTTTATCCATACCAGGAACAATATAGTCCTTAGGCAGTGAGAGATGACTTCTTGAGAAATATGCACTCCTGGAAATTGTCTTTATGAAACAGAAGTCTCTAACAAGACTCCAGGCTTTGTCAGATCAAAATAATGTTCCACCCTACCCAGCATCTTGCAATCTTGTGATCTCCAGACACAAATTCTGGAGCTTCTGAGTKTTTTTATTCTTCTGGAAATCATTAATTGAGATGGGTGGAAAGAGATGCTCAAGTGAAATGTTTAAATCTGCCTGAATGGGGTAGAATACAAAGAAAGTGGGTAGGTTGTGTTGAAAAGATGTGGGAGTTGGTAATTTACCCCGATCACTTCTGCAGTCCTTGTGCGTGGAAAAGGCCACCATGTAATTGCAGACAGCAGGGAGCTGCAATTCTAATGGCACGAGAACAGTGCTTTCATGGGTAAATTGCAAACAAATTGGATATTCCATAAAAAGTAAGGCATGGAGAAGACCTGTGAGTGCAGTTCCCTATCCAAGCACACAGAAGCATGTTTCTATTACTTGTCTTCATTGTCCTGTGGGAGAATGTCTGTGTTTCAATGGTGTGGCAGAAGAGCTGACAAGCACTGCTCTTTGCCAGTGGGAAGGGAAGGCTTAGCTGACCTTCTGAGAGGAGATACGACGTGGGGCAAAATGGTTACAGTTTGCTTTCTGGACTCTTATTCAGTGTAGGAAAGTGGCTTGTTTTGGTGTGATAAAGCTGTAGTATCTGAGTTAGGAACAATAGTAAGTTTGCAATGACATGAGAAGCAAGGGAATCACAGAATTATATAAGAATTGGTAAGTTCTTAAACTGATGCCATTTAAGAATAAATAAAAAACCATCAAACCCAGCATAGTAGCTGTCACTTGGAACCAGTTGGCTTAAGGAATAGACATCAGAAATATTTGTTTCRYGATGCACAATTCCTTTTTWAAGGGAAGTTTTATATGGTGCAGAYTGGGWATCTTGCCTTAAAACGAGACTTCATTTGTATCTTAACCATGCACTTCTTCAACTTAATAGTAAAGAGTTGCCAGCTACTGTGGAGCAGAATCGATTTTTCAATGCAAGTGTAACTTAAACTTGATATCAGTGGGTTTTTGTCTATGTCCCTGTCTGGCGTGGCAGTGATCTTGCAATTGTTTTAGAGCCGTTCTGAGCTATTTGCAGGGAGGTTGCTGAAGACTGAAGCAGAAACACAGAGATGCTGGTGGTTTAAATGTTCCTGTCCCTTCCCCACAGCAGAATTTTGTCTGTTAGATCAATAGGGTTTGTTTTTTTTTTTCTCACAAATGTAGCTGTTTTCAGTGAAAATTAGGGGGAAATATCTTATCTCTCTTCTTTTCTGTTGTTGATTTATGTATATTGAAATGTCTGGGCCTTTTTAACAGAATATAATTGGTTCAAAACTGAGCACAGTGGAGGTTTCTGAACAGCTTCATTCTTGCTGACAGCTCTGCCAGATCTCAGAGGCTGGGATGCTGCTTCACATATGTTGGTTGTGAAATAAACTTGCTTATGTGACATTTCAAGGGAAATCCCTAATACCTTCTTGATTTCACAGCAGGTGCTTTCAACTAAGTAGCAGTTCTGTCAGAATCATGATTTTTACTAACTGTGGATATCCATGCTRGAAAAATTGCAGTTTATTTGATCAGCAGGAATTTCAGTCTGGGTATTCTGCAACAAGATGCCAGAACAGATTTTGCTTGTGACAGTTCTTCATTTAATRTTTTTTACCAGACCATGGGCAGGAGGCCTAATTCAAGTGAACAGAGGGAAAGTATTGAGGATAGAGGGGYTTAGGATAGGGAAGATCATCAGGACAATGATTCTAGCCGGGACCAGAATGTGGAAAACGAATTCCTTTGTGGTGCCTATCATATAGTTGTCCTGACAGGTTGGGTTTGGGTAATTCTTAACTGACATTTGCAACTTTGTGATCTGCTTCTAACCTAAATTTGAATGTATCTGATGTTGCATACAGCATTAGTCAAGAAGTGTTTTATAAAATGATTGCTGAAGTAACTTTTTCTGTTCTTCCCCCACTACAGCACACATCTGCTGCGAGGAACTATTTGGCATCGTGGGAGAAAATTTTACTTTTCCTGCAAAAATAGACCCAAAAGTAGTGGACATTACGTGGAATAAAGACAAGAATTTAGTGGTTGAACGGGAAGGGCAAAACAACCTGAAATATTTTGGTGATCTCCAGAAYAGGGCTGTGCTTCAGGAGGATGGGTCCCTGACTATTCTTAACTTGCAGAAGAGTGATAGTGGCACATATGAGTTAGTGTCCTGGGATTCTGTGAAAGATCACAACTCCAAGTTCAAACTTGACGTGTTAGGTAAGTAGTAGAAGAACTGCATAAAGAATGTGCACCACTTTATTYCCTTAAAAAAGTCTAGAAAGGGGATTGTATATTTGTCAGGGAAGCAAACAGAAACAGAGGAGGCTGTTGTTTATCTCTGTTGTTAAATTGCTGAGGCACTTTGAACCCATTTTGAAAGGTGGCATCTRATTTGTGTGCCCATCATTATTCACCTTGGAATGACTTCTAGAATGCRTGTAGATGGCACTCTGCACTTCCAGCAGACAGCCAAACTTTTTGAACAAGCTGACCTGGTAATCCCAGGCATTATGTATCTATTAAAGATGTTCCTGCAGGCATATTACACATCCTTGAATGTCTGTGGCATCATGCTGTGCAGACCTGCTCAGGCTCCCCAGCAGTTTTTGGGAAATACCTGTGGCCAGTGTGTCTGTCAGTCCTATGGACACTGAACCATGGGGACTCTTGGCCTGGGCACAGAACCACAAACAGGTGGTTCACAGGTCACTTTTAGAAACACATTTCTCTCTCACACCCCATACTTTTGTCTGTGCACTCCCCTGCTCTTGTCCTGTGCTGAAATTCTGTATGGTTTATTAGTGAATTAATACAGAATGTTTTCTTTCCTTCTAGATCCCCTTCCTGAACCTACAATAAGTTGCAACACCAGCACTGGTGTTAACCTTGTATTAARCTGTACAGCAGATTTCCAGAGGCCTCTGATTTACACTTGGGAGCTCAGTAATGAGCCACACAGCTATCAGGGCCAGGAGCATTCCATCCCTTTGGAGAATATTGATCATACTGTGAAAGCTACATGTGTCATTAAATTCTCACAAACAGCAAGGAGCTCTGAAATCTCTTTGATTCAATGCCTTCCAGGTGAAACAGGTAATGAATGTGTCACGTTGCAAACACAAGTCTGAGAGGCCTGGTTGGGAAGCAGCATGRACTTTGTGAGATTTCCCCTAACTTCCCAGGAAGTAAATTTAAGGAGTAAAAAGCATCAGAAGTGATATGTCTACTAAAAGTAGTGAAAAGTATGAGGATGACAGTTTGATCCCCCTGGAAAGATACTTTTTACAGGCATCTCTACAGAATAAAACTTTTAGCTGTGACTAGATTGAGTAATAATAAAGATTAGGTCTTAGAAGACCTCTTCTGAACCTTCAGGCTTTATGTAATTAATGYTAATGACCTGTCCTCTTTGTACTGCTCTCCATGAATTGGAGTGAAACTATTCAGCCATTTCAAGTGAGTCATCGAACAGCCCWTGGATAAAATAATTTCTCATCTAGCATGTGCATGAATCAATGAGTGCACTTCCTTCTTCCTTCACAGAGAGGTATAAAAAGTTGAATAGAGCATTTTCCTCCTGTTGCTTACTGCTTTGGGACATCTTTCAGCTTGAAGTTTGCATTTTTAGGGTTTTTTTTAACCACACAGTGAGAACACATTCAGAACCATCTGTTTTGTAGGGTGTGTAAGGCAGTCCCTAACCGAYAAAATTCCTCATTTTTGTGCAAAAGTAATTGTCATGGTTTAGTAGCACAGAATTCTTCCTTTACAGCAGTTATCTCTTAGAACTTGTTAGAAATGAGGCACGTGGTGGGTTGACCTTGGCTGGCTGCCAGGTGCCCTTCAGGCTGCTCTGTCACTCCCCCTYCTCTGTGGGRCAGGGAGGASAAAATATGACAAAAGCCTCATGGGTTGAGGTAAGGACAGAGACATCATTCAGCCATTGCTGTYACAGGCAAAACAGACTTGATTTCAGAAAARTGAATATAATTTATTGCCAATCAAAATCAGAGCAGCATAATGAGAAATAAGCAAATCTAAAACATCTCCCCCAAACCCCTCCTTACTTCCACCTGCTCTGAGGTGGGATCCTCCATGGGCTGCTCYAGCACCTGCCCCTCCTTTTGCAGTGATGTTGGTGTCTGTTGAGTGGATTCTCTCACACATTGTCACTCCCCACTCACTCTTGCAGCAGTTTTTTCCCTTTTTTAGAAGAATTATCCCAGAGATGCTACCACAGTCTCTGTTGGGCTCTGCTTTGACCGGCAGCAGATCCAGCTCTATCCAACACAGGGGCAACCTCTGGCATCTTCTCACAGCAAAACCTTGCCATGCAAATGCAATACAAAATATTTACTGGAATTTCATTTCTCTGAAATCTGGCTCAGCCTTTCATAGGCCAAGAACTGGAGTACCATTGCCTTTCAAGTGGTGATGTGCTTKCACTGAAATGAGGTACTTAACATGCAACTGTCCTGGAGATGGCTTAGGGTTTTTGCTAATAACTGGCTCTGGTGCATTAATTAATTGAGGTTACTTTTTTAAAAATGTTATAAAACATATTTGGGGCTATATTTCTACAAAACRTATTTGGGGCTGTATTTCTACTGAACTAGTGTATCATGCAGTTGTTTTTTGACTAACCAATTCTTTTTTTTTTTTTTTCCAAAGGAGACAGTTCTTACAAACGAAACAGAGGTGGTCTTATTGCAGCTGTAGTCTTCTCTTTGGCAGCTATAGTAACCCTAGTATTCCTGTTCAGGAAAGGTATGTATAAAACTTCCTAAYTGAGCTTTATGTGCTTCAAGATCATGCTCATCTAATGTTCTGCAGAATGTATTTAGAACTTTTAACCATGGGATGTTTTGTAAAAACAGTAGAAAAAAAACACGTCAGTCTAGGTAAAGGCTAATAGATTTGAAGGAAATAATGTACTGAACTTTCTTGMATTCTGACACTGGGCTCTCAGCCCTGGAAAACACTGCAGTTTACATGTGCATATTTCTCCTTCAGACTGGGTGTTTCATTTACTGTGTTTCTACCAACCAAGTGTTTGTAGCCTCTCCTGTTCCTACCTGAGTGTGTTTTCACAGCTTTTTTTTTGAGAGCATCATAAAGCTGCCCTCAAGATCACATTTATTGTTGGGACAGGCTTATACCAGGGCCTGTTGAATACCATAAGCTGAGTAAAATCTGACAACTCAGTGTGGTCAATTGATAAATAGGACCTTCTGTGCCTCCTGACAGCCTGTATTGCCATCATCTTGGAGTCCTGTATTTGTTTCTTGATCCATCCTTACACTGAATTCAAGTATCTTTTTTTGTAAATCTGACAGCCTAATCAGAAATGGTAATTGTAGGCTGTGTATCTTTTTCTGCCACCTTTTTGAGTTAATGTGTCAGATTGTCTWCTGGTTTGAAAAAGAGGGGCACACCATCTTTTTTCTGTTTGTGGTGGAGAGAGTCCCAAACAGGGATACATTTCTTCATCCTATGCATGCTCTGCATGGAAAATTCCTGTTGGCTTCCAGATGGGGTCACCACTTGGGGGTGGCTGCAGGGTGAAGCATACTGGGTGCATCTCCCATCTGAGAAGGATTTATTGATTATATTYTGGAGGGAGGCTCTGATCAAGACATAAATAGATATTGCATGTGGACCTTATGCTTTCCTGTTCATTGCCCATTTTGTTTCTGTTGGCATGGAATAATAAAATAAACTGGGTGGGAGGACATCTCTGGAAGTTCCATCCAACTTGCTSCTAAAAGCATGACCAACTTCAAAGCTCAATCAGGTTGCTTAAGGCCTTGCCCAGTCAAAMATCAAATAGTTCCAAGGATGGAAATTGCCCAGCCTCTTTCAGCATGTGTTTAAGTGCTGAATCACTCTTGTAGGGAAGGATATTTTCCTTATTTCTGTTAGGGAACTTGTAGCCATTGTCTCCTGGTTTTTTGTTCTGTACTTTTGAGAGGGGTTTCCTTTGTTTTCTATAGTTATTTGTAGACTGCAATTAGCCATCATCCTCTTAGCCTTTTTCTTGAGGCTGAACAAACTCAATTCTCTCAGCACCTTCTCGCACACCTCTTCCCCCTAAACATCTTGGTGGGCATTTGCTGGATGGGCTTCAGAAAGCTGGTGTTTTTACATCAACTGGGAGACTAAAACTAACACTAAATATTGAGTAAGAGGAGGGATTATTTGTGTTGATGGGCTGACTGCACTTCAACAAACACAGCCCAGTATTTGGTAGGCTTCTATTGCAAGGGCACATTTTTCTGCATCATGTTCAGCTTGTTGTGTTTTCAGATGCTTTCCTGCAGAGCTGTTTCCTTACCAGGCAGACCCCAGCCTGTAGTGGTCCATGGGGTAGCTTCAAGAGATTCAGGACACTTTTTGCCTTTGAACATCACATCTTTTCTGCCAGCATTTTTCTCCAGGTTTTTGAAGTAAATTTGAGTGACACCCCTGACTTCCAGCATGTCCCCTACTCTCYCCARTTYGATGTCATCTGCAAACTTCTGTGTCCTTGTTCATATTGGTGCTGTTAAACAACACTGCTCTTGGTGTTAACACACAATAAATGTTATTCTAAGCTGACCATCAGTTAGAACAAAATAAATTCAATTACTTGCCTTGAAACAATGAAGGTTTGAACATGCAAGAAAATAAACCTKTTATACCTTGGTAGGATAAGCATTGCACAGGTATAATCAAACAGCAGATTTGTTGATTTAAGTACAAGACTCAGAATCAGAAATTCTTAAAYTCTATCTTAGATTTTATTAGATGTRTTCTGACTTGTTGCAGGAGACCCCTTCTAATCTCTCACTGATTGTCTCAAAACAACATTTCATTCTTTGTTCTTTTTCCAAGTCAAGTATTTAGTTGCATGTTCTCAGTGAAGTGTATTTTTTTTTCGTTTGGGGATGGGAGAGGGGGATGGAGTGGATGGAGGCTCTTAACAAGTTTCCAAAGGCACAACACTTTATTTCTGAGTAATTTCTCCAGATAGTCTATTTTTTTTTTGCATGCAGGTAGAAGTAAACGTGAAACAGGAAGAAGGGCTGCTCAGAGCAGTCCAGGGAATGGCTCAGGTAAGAGAGTGTCACAAAAGTGGGGATATCAGGATGTTGCTTGGTCTGGGCTTGTCAGTTTTTTTTCTATGTCAATATAGTTTTTCATTGGAGAGGTAAACGAGTAAGATTTCTTTTGAGAAAAGTGAGTTTTCTTTGAGTGTAGCTCTTTTTTCCAGGTCATTAATACTACTTTCTAAAACAAATAAATTCCTTTATAGGAGAACGTGAGCAACTTTTCCATGGGAACAGCCAAGAACAGCCTAACTCAGAGGGAGGTAAGAAACCTGTACTGGGGTATTAATGTTTCCAAACAACTGCTCTTGATTGGAACAGGGAGTCTGATTTGCCCTTCCCTTTTTGCAGGGTATGAGCTTTTGAATTGGTTTTCAATGTGTGCACATGCAGAGTCAAAGTCTCAGTTGAGATCCAATGTTGGATAATTAAAGGGACCTGCACTTAATGAATGTGTTGTGGGGCTGGTAAAGTTACTGACAGTGAGTGGCCTGAGATTTTTCTGGTCAGCAGCTGTCTTTGGAGGTGAATTATCTTTCTAACAATGGAGAATTGGGACTGGCCTCAGGATGAGGGCTGGAAAACTGCACCCTGTAGGGCAACCTCTTCCTGTCCAGATCTCTACCTGGGCTTCTGCTGTCCATTCTAATCTGTATTGTGTTTTTGTTTTTTAGATCTCTACCTGGGCTTCTGCTGTCCATTCTAATCTGCATTGTTTTGGTTTTTTTTTTTTACTTTTTTGGGACGTTTTATGTCTGTTTGTTGGTGGATTTTTTGTTTTGTTTTCTTCTTAGTGTTTTGTTGGAGTGGTTTTRGGGTTTTTTTACTTCCTTAATTTGCAGCAAGATTGTTGTGTTCTCTGTCTTCTTGTGAGTTGGGGTGTGGAAATCACTCTATGTAGTGAGCAGCCAAGGAAAAGGACAACTCTTTTAGTCTGTGCTTCTTTCAGCAGGGTGRATTTAACAKATATGAGTCTTGTTGCCAGGACCASTGTGGTCTGTTTTTAAGAACCAAACTAAATTAACCCCTAAGGCCATCAGACAGRCTGAGGAGAGCAGGGGAAGATTCTTTAAAAATATTTTGTTACCAACCAGTGTTTCAAAGCTCCTGCCATCAGGTACAGGCTCAGTGTCCCCTTGGAGTGTGCTGGTGTTGAGCTCAGTGCTTTCMTCTGGGATGCTTGGTCTGGTACCTTGCATTTGTTAAAGGTGTGGTTCTAGCCCATGGTTCACTGAARTCAAGACTATGGAGGAATCTGAAGGTAAAAAAAAGAAGGATGAGTAGAAAAAAAACCACCAATAAACATCCCCCAAAAAATCTCATTTTGGTCCTGCGTTTAAATTTGCTTTAGAATATTTCTGTTAGAGATTCTTTAAGGTCTGCAAAGAGGAAGGGTTTAAAGTTACAGTGTTAGTGCAACACACAGATGAAGCAAAAAAAAGTAGATGCAGATTCTCTTCTCAGTTGTCTCTGGCTTTTTATGGCAGATCTGTTCAGTTTTATCAGTAGATCTACTACAATAAGACTTTTGCAAAGTTGTAGGCATAAATATAAGTAATGTTGGTCATGTCTGGGACCTTAAGTGGTTGATGGAGGGTGGTTGGACTTGAAATTAGTTGTGAGTCCWTAAAGTGGCATAATGTACAGGACCTCAGGAATATCTGTTAGAAGTGTTATAATGAAATTGTCACTTTAAGGCTTAGTTGCACATCTTGCAGACTGTTATGCTACCTCCATACACATTTCTGGAAAAGGATTTCTGTTTTCTTGCAGCTGCATTTTCACAAACTGTTCATTGTGAGAATGAAGAGCCTGAAGCAGGTAACAAGTGAGATGGAGCCCTAAAAGAGAGGAACATGGAGGGGGAAAGTAATTTTGCACATGGCCTTCTGCAGTSCAAGCCATATTAGCATGTTCTCAGGGTAGAGTTTATCATTCCCCTGCTGGCCGAGAAGAACCTTTGCCTCATGAACAGTAAATGTTGATGGGTAGATCACCAGAAATCAGAAAGACCTGGAGCCTGTGTTTGGTGAATAGCACAGAGCAAATACCTTCTTGGGGATTCACCTTCCCTCTTGATATGATGAGCATGATAATGCTTTTGCTGTGTTTGCAAACCAATTTACTATCTATGGGGAAAAGAACTAAGCATGGAAGAAAGACTCCCTTTTTACAGTAAATAAGCAAATTACCCCTTTTGTCTAACATTACCTTTTATTTGCCTGCAAAAGAGTACAAGGATACTTTTACAGGATGTCATCWTGGGTAGGTGGTCTTTGCTTTCTGCTGGAAAGAAACCCTCAAACAGGATCTAAGACAATAAAATTCTGTGGCTTCAGAGCTTTGTATTGATGCCAAATAGATAATGAGCCTCAGCACACCAATTTAGAGAAGGGATGCTTACCAGCTTGTATTTGGGTTTGTGTAACTGATGGTGAAGGTATGATGTGGGATTATTTTATTACTTGTAGGACTTGCCTATCTTAAAGTAGAAAGGAGGGAAACATACAGTTCAAGCAAAAGAGAATCGGGTCCMTAGGTGAAGGTTGTCAGTTTGGACACTAGATGGGGAAAATAAAATATTCTGTTGCAGTTTAGAATGGGAACATCAGGAAYRGGARTTAGTGCACCTCTGTGCAGTACACMCAGCARCACCTRRGCAASAGACAGTCACTGCTGTATGGATGGGAAGGAGTRGGCAAGGCTCTGATGTTCTCTGAAATGTGTGTACAAAGCAATTTCAAGTAGGGCTTGTGCTGATAACACAGCAGTACTTAACTTTCAGAGGACAAGGAGTGCTCTGAGCCCTGRGCTGCACAGAGCAATGGCCTGTGCTGGTGAGGGGCAGAAGCAGAAGCAATGGCTGTTTTGGGACTCTGGCTATTCTCTGATCTCCTTTCAGACAGAGAATTGAACGAGGAGGACAGAGCCCTGAAAGACAAGCAGACAGCAAACAATGGTGTAACACAGGGAGGTAAGTGACTGCTCTAAGRAACAGTCAGTGCTACTGACCCAGGAGGCAAACTGGCCAGGATCCCTTCAAAGAATCACAGAATCTGCTGAGCAGGAAGGGATGCATCAGGATCATTGACTCCAACCCCTGGCCCTGCAGATGACACCCCAATAATCACACCATGTACTTGAGAGTGTTATTCAAACRCTTCTTGAACTCTGCCAGGCTTGGTGCTGTGACCACTTCCCTGGGGAGCCTGATCCAGTGCCCCAACACCCTCTGGGTGAAASAACATTTTCYTGATAACTGACCTAAACCTCCCCTGRCTCAGCTTCATGCCATTTYCTTGAGTCCTGTCACTGGTTATGACAGTGAAGAGATCATACCTGTCTCTCCTCTTCCCCTCACGAGGAAGTTGTGGCCTGTGGTGAGGTCTCTCTTCAGTCTTCTCCAGGCTGAACARACCAAGTGACCAAGTGACCTCAGCCACTCCTTGTAAGGCTTCCCCTCCAGARCCTTCACCATCCTCATGGCCCTCCTCTGGATGCCCTGCAGTAGCTTTTTTATGTTGTGTATCCACRTAGAGCTGTAACTGGCAGCTCAGTTGGATGCAATAGAGCCACACCTTGAAGCTGAGCAGGGCAGGGGGCTGMATTTGTCTTCTTTTCTCTCTTCAGACACCTTTAAAAAGAACAGCAGCTTGCAGGCCAACCATGCAGCTGACACAAATGAAGGAGGTGAGTGCTTGGGCTGTGTGACAGTCTTCATTCATTGTGACTTTYACCTAATGTCACCTAATGGGTGGCACCACGGGTGCTGTGTGCCTCCTGTGCTTGGCCTTTACAGGGTCTGTAAGGGATCACAAAGACAGTTGGGAATGGAGAAGAGAAGGGAGGTGTTGGATGGTGGCCCATGGGGGTGAGGGAATTGGTTYAGGGCTATTATTGATGCTGAACAAATGGCCCAAATCTCAGTCAGATTATTYTTGATCCATCTGAGCCAAAGAGGCAGGGTGTTGTGAATTCCAGGATTGTCTGAGCATTGCCTTTGTCCTTGCAGAAGTGTCCCAGGATGCAGAAGGGGAAAAGGGAGAGCACATGAACAACTCTGCCAGCTGCAGTAAAGAAGGTATGTGAGGGTGAAGCTCCCTCTRTCTTGGGGGAGTGTGCTGACTGGCAGAGAGGTTTACTGTGAATAATTTTCCTTTCTTGGAAAAATGTTGTTTTGTCTGTCATACAATCATTTCTTGAGTGGTGTAACTATGAGCAAACATCTCATATTGGTTTCTGCTTTTTGTATTGTAGGTCAATGGTCACCAAACTTTTTGTGAGTGTCTACCACATCAGTACATCATTTTACATTTACATACACATTTTACATCAGTAAAATACTTTGAATATGCACACCCAATTCACGTGTATTTATAAATTGTATACAATTATTACTGTGCTTAACTATTACATWCATTATAAAACATGCACAAAATAAGAATTAAAAAAATGTAATGATGAAGTTACTAGTATTTTAATATTTTAAATTTTATTACTGGTGCAGAAATATTTTTTCCTTCACCACAGTGGGTTGCTTTGTGCACACCCCCTTTGGAGTCTGCTGGTGCAGATAATCCATGTAAACATGCTCAAAATGCACAGCAGTGTGAAAGCAAGTGGCACCTTACTGCTGCAAGTTCTTTTGTTCTGCCAAGTACGATATTTTTGTTGAATTACTAGGCAAGCAATCACATCTATAAATTCTGGTATTTGCTGAGGACAATGTTGAAAAGGGGGTGTGGGGGGGAAATCTCCAAATGTGAGGAAATATGGATGAATGGGAGGGTGGGAGTTAGTTAGAACCAAGTGTAAAAAGCCTGACTGTGATGTAGACAACACTGCTGATGAAACTGTCTTGAAACACAAAACCAGACTTGGAATGGGGCTGTGTAGCTGCAGAGGAAGCTGTGGACTGTTGCGATATCTGAGTCAGATCCTGTTAGTTGACAGTAATACTGAAAGCCAAATGAAGTAAGTCAGTACATTATTCATGGCCCACGTGATGTGCTTCTTTGCTGAGCTAAACTGTGTTCCTATGTCACCCTTAAAGGTTCAGAATGTGAAAGTGGTCTGTTGTTATGTCATGGCCAGGTACCAGACATGGCTGTGCCTGCTTTGGTGCTGTTTGCAAGCTGCCTGAGAGCAGAACATTTTGCATGTTTTGTGGRGAACATGAAACCTGATGCTTATCCCTGCAGCTGTAAAATGAGAAAAACCCTATTTCATATTCAGATCCTCTCCAAGGAAACAGCACAAACACACACACCCCWACTGGCTGCTTGATTGTGTTCTTTAATCTCACCACCAAGCTGGCTGTACGTAAAGCAGTAAACCTGCTTGGATTTTAAACACACAGATCATAMAAATACTTCAAGCCTATCCAGGGAYYTTRTGAGAACCAGACTTGGGWCAACTTTCTTTTTCTCATTGTCTACAGAGTTGAGTACCATATGTCACCATATGCTGCTCTTCTAGAGTGTCTCCTGACATTTTATCTTAGGTTGGAGTGATGCTGAGCTAGAGATTAGTGGAAGAGACAGGTAGTGTTATCAAAATGGGAGCAAAGACCGAAGGGCAAAGTGCCCTGGCATATTGAGGTGATTCCCCTTGCTGAGTTGCTGTGTGTGCACCAAGATGGAAACACCAATGCTTGTGTGTGCTWTTTTGGAAATCAGGTTGTTACATGTCACATGTGATGAATTATTCAGGGCACGTAGCCTTGAACTTCCTGAACTGTAACTTCCATTTGCCYTCAGGCTCCTTGCTTGTCAAATAAGAGCTGTATTTTCAATCCTCACAAGAGGGAACTCCAAAAGCACTTGGCATTGCTGTGTGGAAGAAATAGCAGCAGCAACACGTGCATGTGTGATGCACAGCTGATGCTGAGATTATAGACATAAAACATTTGCATAGAAGTGGTGTCTTAATTGCCTGGTTATGTGATCCAAAGTCACTGAATCAGAACAGCTTCACAGGTTACCAGCTACTTAGAGGTGGCTGGCAATAAGTAAAGAAAGTTCTAAATGTGCTCCAATTGCAGAGGAATGTGTCTAATCATAAGCAGATCATTGGGTAAAACATTTTAAAACATTACAAAATTTACATTTAGTAAAACCCATGTCAGATACCTGGGTCATGTACCTGCTCTAACTGGATTGCTATGAGTCACACATGTGTGCATCTTCACAACACTTATTAGTATTTAAAGCCTCCAGTATTCTTGTAACTAGTTCMATTTCTAGAAGAAAAGATGTAGTAATTTGCCTGTGTGCTTTTCTTATTCTTTTGTTTCAGATCTTAAATCATAAGCAAATAATTGCTTTGGTGCCCAAATAAATTATGGAAGAGAAGCAGCAGAAYTCAGTGGTGAAGGAGGTGCTAGCTTTTCCCTTGAAGGTCTTCCAGAAGCAATGAAGTTGTCAGAGCTTCATCAAGAAGCACTTTGAAGACAAGCTGAACAGCTTCCAGTGCCTATTTTTCTCTCCTCAGGAAAGACAGTGTCCTTTTCTAGTACTACTTTGTGAAGACAAATAGGCCAAATCATGGACAAAATCTTTTGAATTGTTTTGTATTCGGTTTTAACAAAAGGTGCCCTGCTAACACACCAAGGCCTCTTTGCAGCTGATATTTAGGGATTTACAGAGTTATATATATTTGTATGAATGTGGAGAAATCAAAAACTGAKCAGCTTCCTATGCACTTTTTTATCAGTAACTTTTTATAGTAAGAAAAAGACTCAATCCTTCAGCACACCCAGATGGGTGGAAGTTTCCATTTTCTAGACTTGATTCTCCAGTAGGAAATCAAAGATCCAGATAAAGCTATCTCCTGGAGTTGGCAGGCACGTGGCAAACTAAGCATCTCCTGACAGTGGTTCATTCTGTGATAAAGCTACGTTTCAGCTTTTTGTTGCACTGGAACAAAGCTGCTATTAGCAGCAGTTTTGGGGTTTTCCTAAAACTTTTTATATTTCTTGAACTTTCAGTATTTTTTTTAACGTCTTATCTCCCACTTCACTTTCATTTTTCTGAGAATGTCAACTCACTGTACTAATTTCTAAATAAKAATAGTATGTCTTTGAGTGGCTTGAGATGAGAAAAAAAAACTTGAAAACTGAAGTCACATATATGTAATGAAGCTCAAAAAGAGTAATACCATGCATTAATGTTTCCAGAACATCATATGRAGTGTTTTTCTTTATGTTTACATGCTGGTTGTTCATGAAAGCTGAAAGCCACTTCAGTTCATTTTGAACTTGTTTTGTATAAAGAATCATGGAGGTTTGACACTGGAACCAAACATCAGGAGCTTCCCCTTCAACTTTCCCCTTGTTTCAACTTATGCCCTTTCCACTCACACAATTTCTTCTGCTATTTGCAGCTATACTGCATGAGGATTCAACAGTCACTTTACCTCTACTGCTGCCTGTAAATATAATTTATTTTTAAAATACTCAAGATGTAAAAATCTTCATAATATCTTTTTGTAATATATACATGCAATTTTTACCTAACYTTAGAAATTACTAACTGATTCCCATTATACTTATATATATTTATTATTTTGGGGGATCAGTGGTCCTGACCCAAGTGTCTTGGTCTATTCCATCTTCAATGAATTTGTCAGGAAAACGCTGTCTGCTTCTTAATAACTTTTTAACAAGTCTCCACACCAAAATGTCATTTGTTATGTGTATTGTAGAAAGAGTAAACCTGTACCTTGTTTTCCTGCTTGGGCAAAGTCTTATTTTCTSTTATTAATGTGAGAAATAATGGCAACAAAATGATTTTCTGGTGGAACTGGCTGAAATTGCTCCCAGAAACTACAGCAGTTTGTCCAATGATCTCCATTCATCCCATGCAATTTAATACAAAACAGCACTGAAAGGTCTCACATGAAGCGGTTTTGAGAATTCTTTTGACACCTGATAWAATTGACATTGTTTCCAAAGCAAGAAGCAACAGCCTTCAAAAATAGTAAACAGTTGTGGTTAATTAACCACAGGTGCTGGAAGTTTCCAGAATAGTTGGAGCTTTGTTAGAAGTAGAAAATSCCATTTACATAGCAGGCTGACATAAGACCAAGAACTAGAGGCTCTACAGTCTCTCAGTGTTTGCTTTCACCTTTTTACCTTGCAGTGTCTGCTGTGCAGAAGAGATTTCTAGTAGAAGTGCAAACCACATTTTTCAAAGCCACAGAGAAGCTTTATTTTATTGGTATTGTTGTTTCTTTGGGTTTTATGAGAGGTAGATTTTGGATTTACCTATAAGGATGTGAAGTCAGACATTTGGGAGAATAAATTCACCTGACTTCTACCATTTTTGGTGACAGTATTTGTGGTGCCATTTCCCATATMCTTCTCTCCAAATGTCTCCTCAGTAAACAAGAATAAACTTTTTTTTTATGTGAAAAGCTTGTGTCCAATCTTACTTTGCAGTGAATGGAAAACCAGGCAGTTTTCAATAACAGAGAGAAGCTCACTCGAAATGTAGTTATTTTTGGCTTGTGAGAAACATGAATCCAGGAAATGCTGACTATTCCAGGAAGTGAGCCTGCCCTCTGACATCTCTGAGTTGCAGCACACACTGGTGGTTAAGACCTGTTTGTGCTAATAAGAGAAACTCACAGTGAGAGAAGCTRCTGCTAARTCCTTGTGCACACAAGACACAGCCTGATTGATTCCTTGGTCCTGACTCTCTTTTCTTTATGCTAGCTTTAAGCTATGAAAGCACTGCCTGTAGGAGCTGTTGCTCCTAATTAATCCCAGAATGAATGAGGTCAGAGCTCAATATCTGCTGTAGAGCTGAAAGTGTGGAATTTGGGCATCAAACTCAACCCACAGYTGTGCAGGCAGCTTTGTCTTGTGCTGACATTCCCCACTTTCAATTGTTTGCAAWCACCCTGTGCTGCTGGAAAAGTTGCACCTTCCACATGGAGGAACTTTTTGCCTTAGGGTTGACTTCAAGGGAATTTTCCTCCTTGAAAGGTGGTGAGTACAGTGGATTGTTGGGCATCATGTTGGCCCATGTGGCTTAACAAATGCAGTCATGGGAGAAATCAGTGGATTCTGTGCTCAAGGACACATCTAAGTTTCTAATSTGTCAAGTTTTAAATGACCCAAATAAAAAACTTGGGTAAAATGCAGCTGCTTCTTCATCCCTGTTGGATATTTAAGAATAGCCTGTGGGTCACACAGCTTATCAATTTTTTCTAGCAGCTGTGCCTCTCTACCTAGAAAAAAAATCTTTCTTAGCCTTATAAATTGCAAGTTYCTTTCCAATTCAGAACATGTTTTCCTCTTCTGTCATGTCCAGTTATAATTGTTTACCATTCCTCTTCACTAGGGAGTATCAGTGAACTGCAGTGTGMAGTTTGGATCCTTTTTTGCCTTCAGAGGGAGAGGGGGGAGAAGAGAGTGTAGAGTTGAACCAGGAAGATGGAACATAAGTGAAGGRAGCAATCAGAGATAGGTAGGGGTAAGTACAAAGAAGGTCCAGAAATTCTGTGCACAGTTTCAAAACAGACTATTTTAGGGCTACAAAGATAAATTAATCCCAGAATAAACTTTTGAAAAGCTTGCCTTATACTGCARTAAGCTGTGTCTTGCAGTCCTGACAACAGAGAAACCATGCCTTTTCATTGATACCAGCATTTCCCTGCTAGGCCTGGTTGAGAATTACATTTTCAGACGTTCCACTTCCAACTGAAAATCCCAGTTTTACATGAATTGTAAGCTAACCTAAATAAYTAATTTAACTAAACTAATCAAGGAAGGTCCTTGGTGGTATAGAAGTTTTTAAGGGCCAATACATTTGTTTTTTTTTTCCTAGAGAACTTAAAAATTGGCAAAGACATTCAATATTTTAACTGATCTTTAGAACATCCAAAAGAGGGGCCTGGAACCTTGAAGGAAATTATCTCAGTAATATCATTAGCATTTAGGGTAATGCAAAGCCAGCAGGCAGGATGGGCCAAAGATTGGATTTAATAAGAAAAATGTGAGGAAGTGGCTGTGGGACTCTGAGGCTGAAGGMCTTCATGGTAGAGGGTCAGTCCAGAAGAGTGGGGGACTTATTCCCTACAAAAAGRTGTGGTGACTCAGGGATGCTGCAGATCACATCTCCCTTTACACCTGCTCTGAAATGTGCCAGGGTCCTGAGAAAAGTTTCACTGGCTTCCAGTGGTGTGGCTCTGCTTGTTTTCTGTGGCAGGCAGAAAGGTCATGGGAAACAATACCTAATTTGGGATCACTGTTATATATGATCTCCAAGTAAATAACTGCATGGGATGCAGCCAGACTACTGTTCTCAGGCTCCATCACAGCTCTAAATCATGGGTTTTGCTCAACAGCACTGATTAAATATGAAAATCCTCTGGTCAACTCTGGAATATATTAACCAAAACTTGGAATATGCTTTTTCTAATCACTACAGTGTCACAGTGGTAAACATGCATATGGTGAATTGGAACATTGTAATCACTAGTAATGTAGTCCACATTAATAATTATTTATCATCTGGCTGTTTTTTAGTTCTCTCTTTCTGAAACTGAATAAATTAGGACAGAAGTTCATTGCCGCAGCAAAATCAGACACTGAAAGGTTARAGATTGCTGAATTCAGTGTTTTCTGCAATCTTCTCTTATTCCCCCAATTCTGAAAATAGCCTTTTATTTTCAGCAGATTCCTGTTGTTTTTAGAAAAAATACCTGCTTCAACATTTCATTTGATTTTTTGCATTAACTTTGTGTAGCCCACTGGCTTTCTCWTTTATGCATAACCTGAGATGTACTTTTAAGCAATTAACTTTCTTTCAGATGTTTTTGAGTTACAACGTTCACACCAATCACATCTGACCATTTCCAAAGCAAATCATTTTCTGTGCTCTGAGACAGATGGTGCTGCTGCTGTCCCCTTTTCACAGATGGGCAAACTGGCACACAGTGAGGCTTCAGCCAAATCTGTTGGATGTGTTTGCTGCCCAGGAGCATTCATGACTGTGCCTTGCCTCTCCTGCATCCCTCTGTAGGTTTGGGACCTTCTTGTGCTTAAGGTAAAGCTCTGCTCACCTCCAGTTGCAGCTACAAGCCACGAGCAAGGTTTTAATTGCACACGTGGGGAAATGGGGAATGCACAAACAGCTTCAGAATGGCAGTTGTGTAAATTCTGTTTGGGGAAAAACTCTTTGTGTTTAGACAGCAGGCAAGATAGGGTTCCCCATGGTTTTTGTCCTCTCCTTATGCTAGAAGGAGGAGCAGTGCATTCAGGAGAAAAGCTGTTTATAACTGAGCACTACAAGCTGGTGTTTTGACTCGTTCAGTGAAGGCCACTGATGTCTGGAAGTTTTGTTCTTCGTGTGTGTTCAAATGTTTATGTTCTGTGTATGTGCATCTGTGTGTTGAGCACTGTACAGGGGAGGAAAGTGCTGAAGAAGGAGATTATTATCAGCCTCTGAGTGTGCAGGAGCTTTTAGAGTAGAAATGGTTTAAGTTTCTACAATATTTGCCAGTAGAATAGTGCTTGTGCTGGGCTGGGAACTACTTGGGATCTGTTTTCCCTAGGGATAGCTGTCTCCACTGAGTTGTGCTGGAGTGGATGTGGGGAGAGGATCCTTTCATCTTCTGAGACAGTAGGACAGCTAAAATCTGTGCATCTGACAGTTCAGCACAGACATTTGGCCGGTGTTTACCTTAAATACATATTCAGTGGAACATTTTGGTTTATGTACAGCGTGGGGGAGCTCAAACAGATGTACAGATAACATCCAGTTCTTCAGAAAGGCATTTAGCAGCCTCACCATTGTTTCTGTTTGCCTTCCCACCTCCCACCTATATCTGCCCTCTTCATGTCGAGGATGTAAAATGTCAACAAACAGCAAACAAATGCGAGTAAAGGGAAATCTCTATTTGAGGCTGCCTAACATGGCCCCACCTGTCATCAGTGAGAAAACAAGGGTCTGAGGGTTTATTTTGAGATAGTATTTACTATTTCAGCCCCTGGAAGACTCATGAAGATGGATGACACCCTCTGCCATTACCAGGCTTAGTAATTTTAAACTTCTGCCTTAGGAGTAGAGCTCTGTGTCTGTGTGTGTTTGTGTATGGAGAGGTGTGTGTTATTATCTAAAAGAGCTGAGGGCTTGGGGGGACATAATTCCAATCTTCTGATAGAACTCTATTTTCCCTCAAAATATAAATGCAGGCATTACAAGATACATTACCTATTTTCTTTTGTTCRTATCTAAATTGTCTCCAGATCCTCAGGCTGAGGATGAATTTCAGTATAATAATATCTCTGGAGATAATTACTTTGTAATTTCATTTTTTTTGGTATTTTTCTCTTTGTAAGCATGCAAGATACTGCCTCTGTGAYGAGAGCTGTTTCACCCACAGCATAATTTCTTTTCCCAGCTTGTCATAAGGACAATAAAAGAGCAGTGRCTTTGTCAGCCATTTCACCCAGCCTGCACAAGTGGCATTGTTGCCATTTTGAACCTGTTTCTGTATGGCAAAGGTATGTAAAATGTCAGACTTTTCAAAAGCTCCGAGTGATTTGAGGTGCCTCATGTTCTCAGCATCCAACATGTAACAGGTTAAGGAGTTTGCTGGGAGGACACTGCTGAGAAGCTGAATGTTCACAGGGAATTTCATTATCAGAAGAGTATCAATTATACCAAAGAAATAAAGGCATCTACTACCTTGGGATTGTCTCGAAAATCATAAAACCTTAAAGAGCAGAGGCAAGAAGCAGTGTGGGGCTGGAGATCTGATAGAAATAAATACCAGACTGATTCACGAAATTAGGACAGCTCGTTTGCAGCAGGCGGCAGCTTGGATGGCAGCACTCCCACAGAAACACAGCAAAGCTGGACACGCAGCTCTTCCCTAGGAATGTTTTCCTATTAACTACAACTTTGTCCTCTGTGGAAATATTTCCAGGTGCTTCTGGTATGATTGGCCAGCAGGCACCGCTCTAGGATCAGCAATTGCTTGGTCTCTGTGGCATTTGACCAAGCTCCTCACAATCCCTTCCCGTTTCCTTTCATGGGGAATGGTTTCCTTATAGCTCAAGGCACCAGTTTGGAGTGCATTTACCTGACACAGGGAAGGGGTTGYCACAATTACACTCGGTTACTGCAGGCAGTTCTTGGACTTCTCCTGGGTTTCAGGACACCCAGGKATAGCAATGAAGCATTGCTGGCAGGTAGCTGGACAGGAGGGAGGTAATTTCAACAGATGATTATTTAATGCTCTGTGCTTGGAGGTTTCTGCAGGAGCTACCTGCAAAGAACTGGGAAAACAGATTWCCTGTGGGAAGGTTTCTGCTTGCTGAATTGGATTTTAGCCCTCAAAGTACCCTGAAGTGACTTGCAACCAAATGCCTTTGTGCAAACATGGTGTGTGTAYTCCTCAGCCACATCC